GAACTCTGACCTTTGTCAATGACTTTGCCATTAGATAAGGGATCATATATTCCTCCATTCTAGATATCATATGGACTAAGACATGGATTATAATCATTCTCTCTGTCCATTCGTTGTTTCCTGATTTCCTATTTATGACGACTGACTAATTGAACAAATCAAATCAGTCCAAGCCCGGTTGAGCACTTACATTTGTCATCACCAAATCATCGAGGGGCCCACAAATATCACTTTTATCTCAAAGGTAAAAGGAATGGATAAACTTCGACTCATATGGCTTGTTCTACTACTTGTTGAATCATACACAAAGGAACGTTTTATACCATCGAGTTACCGAATGCATCTTTATGCAATCAATGTACAACCAACTCATAGTAACAACTCATATCTCTAGGTTTGAAGAATATAAGATATTATCGTCTCATGATCACTCGTGATAAAATCCACAAAGTGATTCCAATGAGCGCGGGTTGAATCCAATACTCAGAACTTATGAGCACTCATGAGTGTGGTAGCCCTTTTTCCAACATCTTAGACCTCTACAAGCCAACCCATGCCAGTCTTAATTCATATCTACTTCCAACATATGACCGACTGTGGATCGTTTGAATAACTTAGTCATCCAGAACAAGGACCTAGTTATTCTGGAAGTTAAAACATACAAAGTGAAACACAATAATAATTGAATCCAATATGATATCAAAACCTATGAACATAAATAAAACATCTTTTATTTATCACCATATGATTAGACATTATTCATTGTAAACTGACACAGCTATCAACTTTATTCTTGAATTTAAAACAATACAATGTCCCATGCTCCAAGCATGTACACTATGTTTTCTAAACAATAGTCATGCCATACACCAAGTATGCATACTATGTTTGCCTATGATCTTTACATTGTGAAATACATCAATTGAACATAACTCCAATGATAATCTTTTCACAATCCCAAATCCTTACTGCAAATGCAAGAATTCCAAATTCATGCCATTTATTGAAATTTGTTAGATTCTAAACTTATATGAATTGATCCTCTTGTAATGGTTATGCACAAAGTCAAAAACACTTGACAACAACCATTACAGAGCATTCCAAAGGAGATCAGCTCCTTGGAAACATCTTTCTTGCATTAAGTTTTCTAATCTTACACAAATTAAATAATTTCTAACTTTGAAATATTTCTAGATTCCATTTTGACTATCACTTCTGAACAAGAGTTGCCTCCTTACAGATTATGTCAATATGGTCCTTACAGAATTATCACTATACTTTCAACTATCCTTGAGCAACCAATCTTTGGTAAACCATAGATTGTCTTTGACAATTGTTTAATCCTTTTAGTCATATCCAAATCTAGACCTTTTCCCTTCTTAATGCCCCATGCATTTGGAAAATTTTAGAAAGGATGAATATAGCACATGTAATCGATCCTATATCTGAAGCATATGGGACACGATTCATGATGTCTCACATAAAGACTAAACTAGTCTTTTTCTATAACATTTCCATTTCTATTTGTCAATCTCTCATAATTTAGATTATGAAAAGGGATTCCGTAATCATAATCGAGTTTTAGAACGCAAATAATGGACCCATATACAAAATTTCCTTATATTGAGCCATTCCAACATGAAATTCATATATATATATATATATATATATATATATATATATACATATATATCCTTGACTAAATGTGATTAAAACCTCAATCTAAGCTTTTAGATTTGAGATGAAGTATAATTTCCTCTCCCTTAATTATAGCAAAACAACTATTGCCCAATTGAAACTTTTTGTATTCTATAATTAACATTGCTAACTTGTAATACTTATCATAATTAACATGCTCCCACTAACATGATGACTATTAGCATAACACTTATGCTCCGACTAGCTTTGAAATCTACTCAGAAATCAGATGGACTTCTAGAAATCAATACTTTATTGACTTTCTTACCAAAGTTCAGATTTCTGATACTAGATTGCTTTGATAAAACTTTATCATAATCATACACCTTATTTTAGATAGCTCACAGGTGTGTCTAAACAATTTTAAGAACTATGAAAAGGGATGCCGTAATCATAGTCTTGATTGTTTAGACCTTTGCCACTTCTCACAAGTCCATGTTAGTGTGCCAGTAAACCACACACGCTCACTAACGACTTTGAGAATGAAAATATCAAAATTGCTATCTAGCTAAAATCTACTTAGTGAAAGTGTTTCCTCACCATTATTTTCATGAATCGGAGAGAAACCTTATGACTCTTAGATTTAATGGTGTATGTGTTCTTATCCATGTGAATTGTCAAAACCATAGTCACAAGACAAGGATAATGACAAATCCAAACTCATATGGAATGAACTCAATCTTAATTTCTTGCCACCTAGTAGCTCAAGGACCTGCCATTGCTTCGATGTTGTTGTGCAACCAATTGAGAACTCCAAGAACTCCAAAGCCAACTTTAATTAGAATGGGCACAGAATATGTTAACATGATAGGTTATGAACCTCAAGTCGTGTGCTAGTGACGAACTTCGAGTTTTATTCTTGATTAGTTCTTGAGACTTTCAAGACCTTTAAGACTCCCATTATCCTCTTGACATATAATACTTTCTTGTTAGATATCCAAGAAATAGTGTGGATTCTAATCACGACAAACACTTCACACAATTAGCCTTAGTTGGTCTTTGTTTTATCCAAAACATCACAACTTACCAATTTTAAATACAAGAGTAGAAAACTTTTACTCTTACATTTGACAAGTGTTTTAAATCTTCTTTAAGACATGTCACTCAAGTTACATTCTTAGAGTATAACTCTAAGAATTGTTTTTGGAACGAAGTATGAATCATCTTCTTGATTTAACCACTTCAACAATTCATAGCTCCTCTTCTTAGCTATCAGAATGCACTTAGAGGATGAATTGTGATAAGGTATCTTAATCATTAAGATGATCAGATAACATGATACTAAAGTACTCTCCCATCTTTTCAAATTTGAGAAACTTTTATCTTTCTGCCTAATTTGACTATTCTTATTCATTTTGCCTTACATTGAAACTTTTCCAATGTTTCAGAATTATACTTAAACTTGTAAGTATAACCATATTTATTGAATTTAAGTAAATCATGATGAATAGTTTTATCGATCTTTTGTGGTGGACTTAATCAGTGCACAAGAATGTGTACTCGATCCCTTAGTCCGTTACTTGACTCACACATCCATGTGAACAAGTAGTTAGTCTTAAAATTTCCAATGCTTGAAATTTCTCATTCATCATGCTATACAACTTGCATGATTCCAAGTTCCGGTCCAATTGAAACTTGGGTGATGAGGATCTTCCCTTATTTGGTAAATTTAGACATTACCACAAATAAAAGAATCAATTTCATATTTCCACTCTTGCTATTAATGGAATCATATAAGCAACAAATTTTTCACAAACACCATTGTAAGGATACATAAAATAAATAAAATTAAAAACTTTGAGGAAATACTTATCCTTACAATCCATATGAAAACTTCTGTTTATCTATTCCTAAGCAATATCTCATAACTCTTAAGAACTAGCTCAAGAATCCAATCTTTAAACTATGCTATAGAAATTCATCTACGCGATCAGATTTAGCATATTCTTTCTTTAAGTTTCTTTACTTTTCTTTGATTCTTAAAACATCACCATGTGACCCAGTCACATCATGTATCAAGAATCTCAGAATAGAAACTTAGCAGAGCTAGATAATGGACTTTACGTGAAGTAGACTCAAACTTGTTGACTTTAACACCCATAGTGAAGAGGTCTTAAGATCAATCAATATATCAAACAATGATGGTGAATAAGATAAAGAGCAATTCACGAAGAAAAACTTTCACTAAGAAAGATAATCTCACAAAGAGATTATCGTGTGCACAAAGCAGCGATTAGGGTTTGTGAAAAGCGTTGTCTTTCACAAGCCGATACAAATGATTATATACTGCTATTCTAGACAATCCCTACAAATCAGTGATATGCCAGCTAACTAATTAAGATAACTAAGGAAACACGATAACTAAAAGATTTACTACAAGATTTGTTACAATGCACAGAACAAACTAAACTAATACAAACTAAGCAGTTGACACACTAGTGCTGATACTGAGATATGTGCTGACGCTGAGTCTGTTTTAAACATTATCATATTTCAAGGTTTGACCTTACAATCTCCCCCCATATGATGATGTTCAAAACAAACTAAATTGAGACACCTCTGGAAAGGAATTCTTCATACTCAGCTTCAACTTCAATTTTGACTGGCCAGTAAGGACTATCCAGCAACTCCTGTCTTCTGCTCAGCAGCTCCATGGCAATAAGAATGTGAAATTCTCTGGATAAATCTTGATGACTCATGCACATTTGCCTTAAGCCAACAAGGTGAGTGGTTGGAGCTTTTGGGATCTCAGTAGTTCGCTGAAAACACATCCTCCTATTTTTATCAAGATAGAACATCCCGTGTTCAGGAGCAGAGATAAATTGATGCTGAACCGGATCAACACTGAGAGGAAGAGAATTGTTAATTTCACCAGCATCAAAGTCTAGAACCAATACATCTTCACCATCAACTTGAAACTTGGTTCTTCGAGATCTAGGAACTGACGACCTTTGGCCTTGATGCTGAGGTCGTTCCTTAGGAACAAGATCCAAACGCAGAACTTTCTGGATCAGCAGATGAAGAGCACAAATCAGTTCCGAAGAGTGAGCTGAGGTTTGCTTGGATGCTAGATCGAGCAGTTCCATCCATTCCGAATATCCAAATCTGATCAGCTAATCCCTCTTGACAACTTCAGTATATGAATGCTGAGGACCTTGACGAGTGATCAGCAACGTAAGGATTTTCTCGTTTCGAGGTTTGGAAGCTTTGACTTTGATGATCTTATCACCACACATTCGCCGATTAAGAACATCTTCAAATCTCTTTCGATCAATCCGGTCAAGAACACTGTCAGTCTTAGGCTAACTAGGGCCAGGAGGAGGTTGAGAAGACTGAGCCTTGGACTGAAATTCCAGGAACTTCTGCATCTGAGCTTCAAAGGATCCCTTGGCCTGAAGTTTGTGCTGAATAATAGATTCATCAGCTTGAGCAATATTCTTTAGAAGCTGAGCTCGATTGGCTGCATCAAGAATTTGCTTGACTTGATCAGGGGACATGTTCCATTCAGCGGCAAGGTTTGAAATACTGACAATGGACTTGGGTTTCTTCAGAGTCAGAGAAGTATCAATTTGAGATTGATCTAAGTCAGTATTTGCTACCTTACGCTTTCGAGATGGCGAATGAGATTCTTCACTGGCAACATCCGAATCCTCTCCTTGAACCGGAAAGATGGGATCAGCAGTAAGATCAGCTGATATCAGATGAGATTTTTCAAGGTCATCTGAACTTTCTTGCTGAACTGGAACAAGAGGATTAATGAAGTTCATGTCAAGAATTTGACATTCATCATCAGGTTCATCATGCTCTTCATCATGTTCACTATCTTCAATCAGTTTTTCAGTAGCTGCTGGACTATTATGCCCCACAGAATCAGACTCAGGAATGGGCGTGGGTGAATTATGCTGAATGATTGTGTCTTTCTCATTTGGTTCACCATCAGCATGATCATCAGCATCAGCATCATCATCAGAATCTCCCCCTTTTTGAGCATCCTCAGATTTGGGACTAGAGGGAGAAGTAAGTAGGAAAACCTCCTTTATCTGTTGAACATCACCCTCAATACGAAGTAGACGCTGACTCATGTCCCGAGTCAGTGTCATGAGTTCAGAAAATGTAGAAGTGGGAATTTGAACAACTGAGGTGACTGGAGAAACTGGAGAGCTAGGTGGCATCCTCGGAGAAGAATGTTGAGCTGCTGGTGACGGATGCTCTCCCTGAGATGGTTGCTCCCCCTGATTCATGGAATCTTTTGGTGTTGAGGAAGCTTTGTCAGTATCCAAGATGATGTGATGAGAAAGTTGAGGAGAGAAATGACCACCATCATGGTGTTCAACCTCTTGATCAGCATGATCCACATGATTACCCTCAGCACCTCCTTCATCAGTGTCAGCGGTGAGAGAAGGCACAGTGTATGGATTTACAATCCATTCTCTCATCCTATCGGAGATTCCAATGTTAGTATCCAAAAGATCATCCTGATACATACGAACAGACATTCGAGGGCATTGGATGGGATTGCCGGAGTGAGAGAAGTAATATTCAGCGAAGAATTTGTCGAACACCAGAGCAATCCAACGTGGAAACGGAACATGATTAGCACGCACATTTGCACGAAGAAGCTGAACAAGCTGATCAAAGAATAGAGCCCCATAATCTAGTATTTTGTTGAGAAGAAGGGAGCAGACGCCTTGTTGCTCATAAGTACTTAACTGATCACCACTTCGAGACTTGTGACCCACACACTTGTATAGAGCACCAGTGAAAAATTTCCAACCTGGGGTCATACACTGACGCAAAATAAGAGCTGATCGAGTACCAGCCTTTGAGTGATCATAACCCAGTTGATCAAACATACGTTTACACCTTTCAATAGTGGGAGGTTCAGAGAAAGGTTCAAAAATAGGTAACCTTAAAGCAGCACTGAGAAGTTTTGTGGTGATGAAAACAGAGTGTCTTCCATGTCCAATGGTTCCGGTGATGGCATTATTGTCTTCATTGACAGTTGCAGTGTAGTAGAACTCACATACTTGTTCAGGGAAGAACTCAGACGGAACATCACTGAGTGCATATCGTAGGCAGCAAGAAGCTAAGAAATTGACAAAATCATCGAGTCCAAGACCTCGATGAATTTCTGGAATATCAGGGTTGAAGACGACATTTGTTGACTTGATGTGAATTGGAAGTGGAGGAGAGTTTGGAGCAGGAACGACCCTTCGAGAGGTTGAGGAGTAAGTGAACAGAGATGCCGCCATTGGAGAGTATTTTAGAGTTCTAGGGTTTTTTGAGGGAAGTTCAAAATTGTGGAAGGAAAAGTTAAGCCAAGGGTGAGAGAGGTTTAAAAAATGAATAATAAAAAAAAAGTTTTAAAAGGTAATGATTATCTTCATTAAAAAGGTGATGATTATCTTTATTAAGAATAACGGCGTATCGTACAACCTGTCAGAGCAGAAAATAGCCGTTGGATAAAAGAGCCATTGACTGAAGGTGAAACGTCAATCAGTGTTTGCGGAAGCGCTGAGATCAGTGAAACTGAAGTTACATGCTGAAACATATTTCTCCGTCAATTCAAGGTAGAACTTGCTTAATCGGGGCTAGCAAGTAGATTGGTGCGTGTGATAGACACTAGTTACATTATCTAACCATCGGCAAGAGTGTTGTGACTTTATCAGTGAGTGGTTTATCTTACTGAATCATTAGACACTGAATAAGAGGAGGGTAAAGAAGCGATTGTTGCGTGTGATAAACCTTGGTGTTTTGGTCTAACCATCAGCAAAGATTTTTAGACTATCATCAGCGTGTGTTTTGGCACACCGAATCACAGAGTCATTGTAAGATTGGTAAGAAGGTGTAGTTGCGTGTGATAGATCTTGGTGTTTTGATCTAACCATCGGCAAGGAGTTTCAAGTTGTTATCAGTGTATGGTTGAATATAGTGAATCATTCAACTTTTATTTAGAAGACTTGAAGAAGAGAAAAAGATAAGAAATCAAACCAAAGTTTTCAGTAGAAAATATCACCAGTATGTCATCATCAGCATAATGTACATCAGCTTATAAGACAATATCAAACATTAGCACAGTTGAATAGCAAAATTAATTACAAGGTAATCATTCCCAGTTCTCCGATAATGTAAGCAGTTGCTTGAGAATCCAGTTCCTTTGTGAAGATATCAGCAAGTTGCTCCGAAGTCTTGACATGTTCAAGAACAACCTTTCCCTTTTCAACAATATCTCTGATGAAATGACGTCTTATTTCGATATGCTTCATCTTCGAGTGTTGAACAGGGTTTTGTGTGATCTAAATGGCACTGGTGTTGTCACAATATATGGGAGTCTTTGAGAACTTGATCCCATAGTCGAGAAGCTGATTTTGAATCCATAAGAGTTGAGCACAACATCTCCCAGCGGCAACATACTCAGCTTCTGCAGTTGAGATGGCTACTGATGTTTGCTTCTTGCTAGACCAGCTGATGAGATGATTGCCAAGGAAGTGACATCCACCAGACGTACTCTTTTTGTCTAAATTGCATCCTGCATAATCTGAGTCAGTGTATCCATAAAGTTCAAATGCTGAGTCGCGAGGATACCACAGTGCAAGGTTTTGAGTCCCTTTCAAGTATCGAAAAATACGTTTGATAGCCATGAGATGAGATTCTTTGGGATTAGCTTGGAATCGAGCACAGAGAATGGTTCCAAACATGATATCAGGACGACTTGTTGTGAGATATAAGAGAGATCCAATCATTCCTTGATACAGAGAGTGATTGACATTAGTTCCAGTTGGATCAGCATGTATCTTATCAGTCTTAGACACTGGGGTAGAGGCTGGTTTGCAGTCATTGAGAGAATACTTAACAAGCAAGTCAGAAATATATTTACTTTGGCAAATGGAAATACCTAACTTTTGTTGCTGAACTTCAAGACCTAAGAAAAAGGTCATCTTCCCCATCATGCTCATTTCGAACCTTTGAGACATGATTTCTGCGAATTCCTTGCTCAGTGTCTCATTTGGAGAGCCAAAAATGATGTCATCGACATAAATTTGAACAAGAACCATATCTGAGCCTTTGTTTTTGATGAAGAGGGTATTGTCGATTGCTCCTCGTCTGTATCCGTTTTCAAGGAGATATGATGTCAGTGTCTCATACCAAGCCCTGGGTGCTTGCTTCAGTCCATAAACAACTTTTCTAATCGGTACACGTAATCAGGATGATCTTTGTCCACAAAACCTGGGGGCTGATTGAGGAATACTTCTTCTTCTAACACACCATGGAGGAATGCTGTTTTTACATCCATCTGATAGACAATGAAATTCATGTATGATGTGTATGCGAGAAACAGTCTGATAGATTCAATGTGAGCAACTGGAGCAAATGCTTCCCCGTAGTCGATGGATTCAATTTGAGTAAACCCTTGAGCTACAAGCATTGCCTTGTTGCAAGTGATGATTCCTACTTTATCAACCTTGTTACGATAGACCGAGCGAGTTCTAGTCATAGTCTTCACAGATGGTCTTGGGACAAGAGTCCAAACTTTGTGCCTTTCAAACTCATTTAGTTCTTCTTGCATGGCTTTGATCCAATCAGCATCTTGAAGAGCTGTGTGTACTTTGTCAGGTAAGATCATTGAAACAAAGTTAACGTACATGCAAAAGTTATTAAGTACACTAGATCTGCTTTGGACACCATCATGAATATTTCCTATAATTCGATCAACGGGATGATCTCGATGTTCAGTGACTGATGCTGATTCCGGAGAGTTTGACACTGACACATTATCAGTTTCAGGAGAGTCTTCAGCTTCAAGGGTTTCATCAGCACCTAATGAATTATCTGCTGATGTTGCTGTAGTATCTTGATTCAAAGAACATGGAACTGGAATGATAGAATCAGAGGAATCAGTCTTATCTCCAGCAGAAGGTTCTTCATCAAATGGACAAAAGAGAAGCTTTTGAAAAATAGAAGGAGAATGAGTGACTTTTTCATTAGTGTATGATTCCTCATCAAACTTCACATGAATGGATTCTTCAACACATTGCCTGTTAACATGAAAAACACAAAAAGCTTTTGAAATAGATGAGTACCCAACAAAAATACCTTTATCAGCCTTGGGTTCAAACTTGGATCTTAGGTTACGCTGATTTAGAATATAACAAATACATCCGAACACGTGAAAAAAGGATACGTCTGGCTTTCGATCTTTCAACATTTCATATGTGTGTTCTTGTGAGTCCTGTGAATTAGAGATCGATTCCGAGTAAAACACGCTGTATTGACAGCTTCAGCCGAAAATGACATAGGAAGACCAGCATGGATCATCAAGGTCCTTCCTCCCTCAATCAGCGTTCTATTTCTTCGTTCAGCGACTCCATTTTGCTGAGGAGTACTAGGAGCTGAGAAGTTTTGTCTATTCCTTCATGATCACATAATTCTTCAAGAGTTGAGTTTCAGAACTCAGTACCATGATCACTTCTTATTTGTTTAACTTTAAGACCTGTCAGTGTCTCATTTTTACAAATCAGTGAGACAATTTCCTGTTCAGCATGACTTTTCTTCTTCAAGAAGACTACCCATGTAAATCGAGTGAACTCATCAACAATGACTAGAGTATACTTATTTCCACCTAGTGAACGAATAGGAATAGGTCCAAACAAGTCCACGTGGAGTAGATGAAGAGGGACTGATATGCTGGAACATGACTTGGGTTTGAAAGAGGACTTGGTTTGTTTTACTTGTTCACAAGCTGAGCACATCTTGTCTTTCACAACGCTGAATTTTGGGAGCCCTCTAACTAGATCTTGATTGGATATCTTGGATAAATTCTTGAAGTTCAGATGAGAAAACCTTTTGTGCTAAATCCAACTAAGATTCGTCTGAGACTTAGTAAAGAAGCATTGCATCAGTGCCTTGTCACTTGAGAACATGTCAAGAACATATATATCATCTTTTCTACTTGCTGAAAGTACGATGTTCTTGTCAGTGTTTACAACTCTTCCTTCCTTCTTTGTATAGTGAACTTCATAGTCAACATCACACAATTGACTGATAGAAATGAGGTTGTGTTTGAGACCCTTTACATATGAAACGTTTTGAAAAACCACGTTATTGCATTTGATATTTCCATATCCCTTAGTAAACCTCTTTCCATTGTCTCCATAAGTAACTGAAGGACCAGTTTTCCTGACATAATCTTCCAGGTGAGACTTTGACCCTGTCATATGCCTTGAGCAGCCACTATGTAAGTACCAAAGGTGCTCCTGACCCTGCAGTGCTGAGAAACTAGTTAGAACACACTGACCCATTCGAAGATGGGTCATTCACAAAGTTATTTGATAATAGATTATAACACTCCTTAGGAAGACAGTTTAAAGAATTTGACTTAAGAGTCCATTTTTCATTTCTAGCTTTAATATTTTCAGCTCTTGAGGATGATTTATCAAAAGAACATTCACTGATCTTGTGAGAGGAATCACCACATCTGTAACAAACTCTAGTACCAAAGTTCTTCTTGGTGAGCGAATTTTTTGATTTAACACATTTTGACATGTAAGATTCACCAAGAGAGCTTTGAGTCCTTTTGTTTATCATTGAGTCACGACTGAATTCGGTGTCAGAAGGAGTTTGATTAGTGTTAGATGATGAGCTATCAGTGTCTAATTTTGACTCATTCATAGACGGATTGCAATCAGGGAAATGCTTAAGTTGTTCATGAACAACATGAAACACTCCATTTGAGATAGGAAAAGCAATGATATTCTCAGTTAGAGGAGTTGGTCTTACAAGATGTGCAGGATAAGAGGTGGGATGAATTCCGGTAATTTCAACATTACACTCAGTAATACCATCAGAATTAGTAATATAGTATTCATCAATTAAACTTTGATTAATAAAAGAGTTACTGACAAACTTATTTTTGAAATTGTTTTTCATCTCATTCATGGAATAAACCTCAAAATCCTTTTCTTGTGATTTAAAAACTTTTTCAGCTTCTGCAAAATTACCCCCAAGAATTTTCTCACATGAATGTGGGATTTGAGCTGAAATAATATAGTTAGCATTCTTATGAGATTTTGCCCAAGTGTGAAGCACAGTTTGTTCTTTGATCAAAAGATTTTTAACATTGTCAATTTCAGTAGACAAAGAAGAATTTGACAGACTAGTAATTCTAAGATTTTCCTGAGTGGACTCAATAATGCTATTTTTCATGGATATATCAGTTTCAAGAAGATCAATTTGATTTTGCAAGTTTCTTATAGTTTGATTCTTCTTAGAATTAATGACACCCAAATACTCAAACATTTTGATTTTTTCATTCATTGAATAGGAAACAAAGTTTTTAACCTGGTACATTGAAGAAGAGTCAGTGTTGTGCTTCCTGGAATTTTCAACAACATCAGACATGTCAGCATCAAAAGTACTTTTGTCTTTATCAGAGACAGTCGGGTCTTCTATTTTGACCATTAGACACTTGACTTCATCATCTGATGACTCTTCATCAGTTTTCCATTTTTCTTCTTCAGCCACAAGCAATTTATGTTCCAAGTTCTCAGCTTTCAGCTTCTAAATCAGCTTGTTGTACTTTTGCTTCCAGTATTCATCTGAGCCCTGTTTCTTTTGTTTACATTCCTTTGCAAAATGATCAGTGCTCCCACAGTTGAAGCACTGAGCCTTCTCTTTCTTATCAGCACCATGCCTTTTATCAGCTCCTGATCCTTTTGAGAAATTTCCACCCATCTTCTTTTGAAACTTTGAAAAGTTTCGACCTGATTTTTCAAAATTCTTCACAATCAATGCTGCACTAGCCACAACTTTTTCAAGATCATCAATGTCAATTTTAGATGAATCAGTACCTGAATTACTTTTAGTGTCTGAATCTGACACTAGCTTTTTGTTGGAGAACAAAGCTATAGAAGATTCACACTGAGAATCTTTCATCAGTTCCTTTCTTTGAATCTTGGAATCTTCATAGTATCGAAGATTTCCGTAGAGACTTTGTAAGTCCATAGAGTTGATCTTCTCACTGTTTTTCAGCACATCAACATGATTCTCCCAACCTACACCCAGAGAATCCAAAAACTTCTACACTAGAACAGTTCTATGCTTCAACTGATCTAGTCTTCGAAGATCATTAACAAGAGTATTGAATCTGTTAAAGGTTTGAGTCAAGGTTTCACCTTTCTTAGCAAAAAAATGTTCATACCTTCGGTTGAGATCATTTATTTGAGTAGCCTTGAATTCTTCAGTGCCTTCAAAAGATACAGTCAGAGTATCCATCATCTCTTTTGCTGAGATGCAATTTTGAAGTAGCCCAAAGATGTTGTATGGCAGAGAGTAGCTGATTGCGGCACGAGCACGAACATCTAGACCATGTTTTCTCTTGTCATCTGTCGTCTAGTTTTCTTTGGGAGTTTTCTTCATAATACCATCAGGAACATTATTTTTAAGGGGCTGATACATCGGAACATAAGGACCATTCTCAACGATGTCCAACATGTCTTCATCAACAGACTCCAAGGCATATAGAGCCTTTATTTTCCACATAGCAAAGTTTGTTTCATCAAAAGGAGGAATTTTAGCAGAAGGATGAGCTGATGATTTTGATGAAGAAGAAGATGAAGCCATTTGTTTGATAAGAGAAACCTGCTCTGATACCAATTGAAGAGGTCTTAAGATCAATCAATATATCAAACAATGACGGTGAATAAGAGAAAGAGCAATTCATGAAGAAAAACTTTCACTAAGAAAGATAATCTCACAAAGAGATTATCATGTGCACAAAGCAGCGATTAGGGTTTGTGAAAAGCGTTGTCTTTCACAAACCGATACAAATGATTATATACTGCTATTCTATACAATCCCTACAAATCAGTGATATGCCAGCTAACTAATTAGGATAACTAAGGAAACACGATAACTACAAGATTTACTACAAGATTTGTTACAATGCACGGAACAAACTAAACTAATACAAACTGAGCAGTTGACACACTGGTGCTGATACTGAGATATGTGCTGACGCTGAGTCTGTTTTAAACATTATCATATTTCAAGGTTTGACCTTACACAGAGGTAAATTGGCAGTTTCACAACCAATGCCCCTTCCTTTGGCAATTTAACATATGGACGCTTTGGTAATGGAACGTGGGACTATCACAGACTTAGCCTTTCTCTTTACCATTTGGTCAACCAAGTTGACTATGGCTGATCCTTTTCCATTGGGAAGAGAGCTTTACTGGATATCCAATGTCATTATTGTCAATAACCACAAGTTTTAGGAAGTTCATCTTAGCAAATAGATAAGATCATTAAGCGTCTTGTCATAATCTGTTTCATAGGAGTCCCAAAGGAGCTTAGTATGTGACTTAGAAAGTGATTGAGCCACCAAGTTTCTCAAGACTTTGACACATAACTCTCCTAGCTTGTCAATATGTGACTTCATCTCCAAGATGTGATCATACCTAGACCTTGCCTTGCCAATAGGGCTTGAGTGACCTTGAACTTGTGGGTTAGGGAGAATAGTTGGAGGAGGTTAAAGAAGTATGATTTCCATGGGACATCATCTTCATTTAGGAAAGCTTGTTTCAAGAGATTTTTGGAATATCATAAATGTCTAAACCATACATCTTTTTGGGAGATATTCAAGATAGTTGATTTAAAGTCCTTAATATAACACCCAATATGAAATATTAAGGCTAGGACCCAACACAATACTTTTATAACTTGGAAGAGGGATGCCGTAATCCAAGCTATAAAATATTTGAAGGTAGGTGAATGACGATTCACCAATTTCCACCAAGATAAACGAAATGTATTATTAGGTTTTAATTCGATTTGAAACTCGTAGATCTTTTGAGATTCATTGAACTTTTCAATGGAATGTTTCAATCTCGAGTGTGCCCTTCAGGTTTTATGACTGGGATGCCGAGGATCACAAAACAAGGTGTGAAGTAACCATGCAAATTACTTGGTACCCTTAAGTGTTTACCCCTAAATCGATGTGTCGGTTAACCACACACACTCCATCGATACTATGATAAACATTAAGTTACCCTTTACGTACCTTGTTAAATACGAGTTAGTGTGCCAGTTAACCACACACGCTCTACTAACCGACTTAAACAAAGTGCAAAGTGAAATTTCATGGATTAGCACCTTTTTCACTTTTTCCTAAGTAACTACGATTGGGTATTTATAAAAGGTCTAGTTACTTAGTATTTATCATTAATACTTTTAATGAAGGGAGAATTATATTCCTTGTCCTACCCGTTCGGCTAACGACCCTCCACCAGTCAAGGAAGCGGTGGGTGAATGTGGACACCCATTAAACTGCAATTTTATAGGCACTAACCTTATACCCCCCTTATAGACCGGCTTCGTGAATGAGGCTTACTAACAGTAAGACTGACTTGGTCTTATACATATATATAAATATTATTAACTTATAATATTATAAAGTATAAGTGTTGAATTTTGACTTTTAAAATTTTAAGGGCTAACTTGGAATTAAAGTATTCATAAGTGAAAACTTTTCAAATTCCAAAAATTGAGGGCAAGTTTTGAAACTATTCAAAACTAATTAATTCCATAACTTATGTGTTTAAAGTAGTTTTAATCCAAAAACTCTTCAAGTTCCATAACTTGAGGACAAGTTATGGAAAACTTTAAACTAATAAAAGAATTAACTTTTTATTATTTTATAACTTATGGATTTAATTATGGTTACATATTTTAATACTTAATGAAGTGACTCTTGAACCTCCATAACTTAAGGACAAGACTCTTCATCTTTTGTAACCATTGCCAACTTTTATGAGTTTTATGAAACTTAAATGTGACTTTTCAAATAACTTGAGGACAAGTTACAAAAACACATTTTAGAATCAACTCTTAGATTAATTTGGATTGAAAACACATAATCAATTAAATTTTCTATTAATCTAAGCAACTCATAAGAACAAGATAAATCAAATCAAACTTTTTCATGTAATTAGTCTAAAGCTTAAACTAATACAAAACATGAATCTATTGACAATTATCTTTGAAATTGGATTAGCATGAACATTACCACATCAAAAACAAGTTTATAAGTCCAAAAACAACGTAACGTAATGTTCCTAGTCCATTTCTAGCCAAAAAAACTCGAAAATATGTTGTATGTGGCTCCTACTCATCGAGTGTATCAACCTACTCGACGAGTAGGATGATTTTCTTCATGGACTTGGCGAGTTCATCAATGGACTCGGCGAGTCTAGTGCCCAGAAAGCCAGAAAATCGATGTTTTCAACATTTTTCAGCAATTTGCATCAAGTATAATTGAAAACAAGCCTAGGCTCTGATACCACTGTTGGGTTTTGAGCATTCTAACACTCCTAAGTGTACATGCAACCCTAAATACCTTGGATAGATGTTTTCTCTATTATACGTGAAAATATGAACTTTCCAAGGTATTCATCCTAACGAGCATAATAACATTGATTCAAATGAATATATCAAGTTAGAATTACATACCTCTTTGATGTAGATTATCTTCATGGAGCTTGACTGCCTAGGGCCCCAAGTGTGACACCTCAAACGGTTCACACAACACCAAATACACTTGGTATAGATTGAGAGAACATACACACTTCATGAAATCGGCTAGCTCTTCATTCTCACACATAGTGGTCGATTTCTTGAGCCATGGGATTCTTTTATATGGTGTCTATTAGGGTTACACCATGTAACTCATAACTTTACCCATTCCTTATGCTCCATGGATTTTAACCTCCATGGAGTATCCATGGATCACCCCCATGGACTTAGTCCAACATAAGGAATCTTGGATCACAAGCCCACATATATAGGAATGAATGATTTACACAATTAACCCACATATTTAATTAGTCTCCTTTTGATCGCTTAATTAATTCCAAATTAATTCTTGATCAATACTAATTAAA